AGGGGTCCGAATCAGTCTTGGTTCGAAGCCTAGATCGTGAACATCGAGTCTCCACCAATCGACGCTATCGTACCTATTGGAAGATCGGGCCTTATCTACATCACTATGTATTAGCTTTGCCAGATCAGGATAAGAGTTTTTTTATATCTACTATGATGCACCTCATCACGGTGTGGGATGTGTCCTTCTATAAGAAGAAAAAATAAAGGTTTAAGCAAGAAAACATGAGATGGAACATCTGACGTATGATCTGGAGTTATCCATTGTGGAGCACGGAGGTACTATCTACTTGGTCATGATAAGTGACATCTATGAGGATCATAAAATCTAAGGAACATCTTCACAAAGTTGGTCTTGAGCATATGACATCATTATTGGTTTGGTATTGATCAAGATTATGACTTGGAAAAGTGCTATCACTTGGAGAAGCAAAAGTCGTTGTCGATGTCTTTAGCAAGAGAGAGTTATGCTAAGAAGATTCGAACGACACCATGGACTAAGAATAGTCATTTGAGAGTTGAGCAACTTAACCTGAGCATATATAGTCATTAATGTTTTAAAGTTGGTAATAGAACCTACTTTAGATCAAAAAAGTAAGAAGGCTCTATTGGAAGGTGAACATATGAAAAAAGAGGTCTAACAAGTATGGACTAAAAAGGAAAGGTGGCCTAGTGATTGGAGTTACCTGAGTATTGTTTGGAGTATCTGTCAGAATCTTGGAATTAGTTTGGCAAGATACTTGGAGTAAGGTTAACATGTATGCAAAATAAAGTGGGATCCTTATCAAGACGATGAAACAACACGATGAAGTAGAGAAGAATCCAAAGGCAGAGAATCTATATCTCTTTTATCACCATCTTCCGAATCTTGAGGATGAGATTCATCTTAAGGAGGGTAGAATTGTAACACCCTAAAATTTGCTTCTCTTAAAATAGAGCTAAAATGATTTTAATTTTGTATTTTTATGCTCATGAAAATATGGGGAAATAATAAATTTTCATTAGATTAAAATTTATCTTAAGGTAGAAACGTGTTTGTTGCATTCATGCCGGTCGCACCTTATGTTTCTATGTGTAAATTTTTTTAAATACGTTTAGGAGACGAATATCTATCTCTAGGAATTTTTCAGCTTCTTTCTGAAATTTAATTCCTACCTCCTTCACCTTAATCTTTATGTTCCAAGTTCCCAACAATTGTTTCATAAGCTCTAAATACTTTATTTGAGTTCATCATGTTCCAAAGTGTCTCTAGGAATTTTCCCCAAATTTTCGGAGGTCTCGGACTATTTTTCGTGGCTTAAATATCAATTCTGAACTTTTCTATAATTATTTTATTTATGGAATGAATTAATTCCAAAAATAAATAATATATCTCATTTTCCAACCAATTCTCAAAGCCCATGTGCAATAATCCTAAAAAATCTCAAAGGCCAATGCATTTATTTACTGATAGGCTTTAATGATTATTTAGGTCCATTAGTAAACGTGGAGGGTGCAACATCAATTAGTACCATATTGCTAGTTGATGTAGATGTGGGGAGTTTTTCTCTCTATAAATATATACCAACTCCATGGGCAAAGCGCACCAAAACTATCGTAAGGGGACCCCTAGTTTGGAAAATCCCTCGTGTTGTAAATTAGATTTTTTTTCTCCTCCTTCTCTCGCTGTCGTCGTCGCACTGCCCGACGCCGTAGACCCACCGTCGACCACAGAAAGGCCCTAGGTGAGTTCACTGTCTTCTCTGCTTATTCCCTGTGCTCTCGGCTCATCAAACCGTGGCCTCTAGGGCCCAAACCAAGCGCTCCGGGGAGTTTCTCGCCGCCGGTAATGGATATCCGCCGCGCCGGTTTTCTTCTCTAACTGGTGACTCTCTGTCTCCCCCTCCTTTCTAATCTGGGCCGTCCAGATTCAATCCAACGGTTCAAGATCGCCCGTACCCCTTCGCGGGGTTTATTTGCAAAAGAGCCCCTGCAGTTCGCGTAATATAACCCGTAGTTCATGGCGCAGTTCCAGAATACGTTTTCCTATTCCGAAAGCGTAGTTTCTTTCTAGTAGATTCAGAATACGTTTTCTCTTTTAGAAAGCGTAAAATCCCTCTATTAGATTCAGAATACGTTTTCTTCTTTCGAAAACGTAGTTTCTTCGGTTAGATCCAAAATACGCTTTCATCTATTTACAGTTTTGCCACTAGTCTTATTTAGGCCATAAAATCTTCGTTTTAACTCTATTTTGATCCATTCAAGTTACATTAGATTCATAATTGAGTAATCTACATGTTCATCCTACTGTTAAATATATTTTCAACTTTTGAAATTCGAGGTTAGATTGAATCTATTATTTTATTAAAGGAAATCTTGTTTAATTCATAACTTTTTCGTTATAGCTCCGATTAGAGTGCTTTTCACGTCTGTGTGTTCGTAGCGAGTCGTAGATTCGTTTTACAAACATTTTATCTTAATTTTATGTTTAGTGTACTGTTCTAATTTAGATCTATTGTTTGCTTCATGTATGATTGCATGGATGCTTGTATGGTGCTTTATGATCATGTCCAGTCGGTGAGCTTTGCTTTGGTGATATAAAAGAAGTTGGTGATCCAGAAGAAGTCCTTTGGAGGTTACAATTCAATTGAAGAAGGATCAGAGTTTAAGACAAGTATAGCATGGGATCTTCCTTGTTGTCCTCTACACCTTTAATTATTTAATTCGTACTGCATGTGTCTACCTTGACTAACACTAAGGATTTTCTAATACTTTGTTATCTTGTACCTTGATTCCTATGGGTTTATGCATTGGGTAGGATGATGTTAGTGCTCAACTAAAGCTATGATCTTGTAATTTGACTAATGGTATATGCAATAAACATTAAAAGATGCTTTTTAGCAATATGGAAAGGGGGGCTAGAGCATTGGGTTGTTTTATGGTACTCTATTCCTCTCCCTAAGGGCTTATCTGTAAGCGAACATTCAGGACTTACAGTACAGCTGTGAGGGCTACTTGGCTCTAGCTTTAGCTCAGTATGAGGATCTTTTCTAGCTTGTTAGTGGTTACCTTTATGGCACAAGAGGGGTTCCGGCAGGTATGATCTCGACCTACCAAAAGGGTGCACTTTTGTTTCTTGGTATTTTGTTAGTCACTCTTTGGAGGGGGGTCATGCTTATTGATGACGAAATCTTAGCGGCCCTAACTTGTTAGATGAACCTTTGAAAGGCTTTATAGTGAACCCTACCGACCTTTCTTGGTAGTGGGTCAAGAGGTTGGCCGTCTCGGACGAAAGGGTAAATCACAACTCACAGTGAAAGTGTACAACCTCTACAGAGTGTAAAACTAGTATATCAGTCGTGCTCACGGTCACGAGTGGCCTTGAAACCCTTACAGAATAGATGAAGAACATAGATAATACCAATGATGAAGATGCTCATTGATTATTATTGTTTATGTTATTCATTATTCATGTTTACCTGATCATGTGTTTATATGGGCTTGTGAATAAATTTATTGCCACTCAATTGCTAAAAGATGACTCATTAAAAGCTAATTGCAGTTAAACCAATGTCAGCCTTTTGAGCCTCGTGAACCCCATGCTATATTTGTTGAGTACGATATGTACTTACGTTTGCTTTATTTTTCACATATTTGGATAAAAATCCCGGATGGATATAAGATTGCTAGAGTTTGGAGGAATTAGGCTTGTAATCAACCAGTCAGTTGTCCCTGTGGAAGTGGAGTCTTCACCTGAAGATCGGAGTTGTCTTTTCGCTGTCTATACTATAAGGTTGTATTCTTTATACTAATACGCTATGTAATAAGCATTGTGTTATGATATTACCCTTATTTGTAGTTATATGTGAGATTTGACTTCATAGACTCACATATGGTGTGTATCTGCTTTTATCCTTAAAGTCGGGTGCTACATTACTTGTCCTCCCTAGTGCGCCTTATGGCGCGTTGTGTAAAACATTCTTCTATTTAATACAAAGATGCGCAAACATTTTGCGTATTTGAGAAAAAATAATGTTCATCACACGGCGTCATAATTTTCCTTTATATGGTTGAGATCTTGAGGCAAAGCCAGTATTTTGAAAGCTTTTGTTGGTACACAATTGTCTTGGGCTCTTGGCCGTATATATTATTTATTATATATATCTAGCCCTGCTAATGGGTGAGATTCCAACCCATTTCCACCCCATTCCAAATCTAATTAATTAGTATTTTTCAACTCCTCCCCACCCTATTCCAAATTAACTTAGACCCAACCCACTCTATCTTGGATTGCATCAACATTCACTTGAGTTATATTGCCTCTGATGTCGTCTGCTGACAAGATATTTACACATGCAAGTTAAAGAGAAATTAAGAAACACCAAATTAAGAAACACCGACACCTGCCAAGAACAGCAACATGCCTGGTGCTCGCCAAAGCGATCTTTCACGACGATGACGCCGCGGCCACATCAGGCTGCACGGCAGCGGCAACAGGGGCCAGCGCGCAGCACGTCGGGCAGGACGAGCGGCCTCATTAGGCGGCGCGGCAGCGGCAACAGCGGCTGGCGCGCCGCACGCCGGACAGGACGAGCGGCCTCATCAGGCTGCGCGGCGGCGGCAACAGCGGCCGGCGTGGCACGTCGGGCAGGACGAGCGGCGGCCAACCGCGAGCCAGCGCGGATGCAGTGCGCGTGGAAGCCATGGCCGCAGGCCAGCATGACGCGCACGGCGTCCCCGTCCGCGAACTCGGCGAGGCAGATGGCACCGTTCTCAATTTTTTTTTACTATGGAATAAGTTTTAAATTAAACTTAAAATATATGATGATTCAGAAACATGAAGATCATTTACATTTACAAGAATAGAACACCACGAGTTTACGATGGGAGATAATCCCTTACCAGAAAATTATGCTGAAACCCATAGGCAATTGGCGAAACTACAATTATTTGTATAACATGAGCTTCACTATCATAATCCATACAAGCAGTGAAGCAATCTATCACAGTTCAGTGCGCAGTTCAGTTTGCGGCGGTTGTGTGTTTGATCAGGTACTCCATCGCTACTGCAGCGTGGAAGGCAGCTCCTACTGGGAGCACGTCCTCATCAATCACAAAGTAAGGGGAGTGGAGGGGATGCATTGCCTCCATGCTCGTGTTGTGGACCCCAATAAAGAAGAACGCCCCCGCGAATTTCTGCGCATAGAAGGAAAAATCCTCAGCACCCATTAACTGGGCGCCTATCCTCACGTTATCCTGCCCAAGCATAGTCTCTGCCACTTCTCTGGCGTGATGGTACATCCCTTCATCGTTTACAGTGGCTGGATATGGACGGAGCTTCTCCTGCATGAAGTCGATGACGGCGGTGCAGCGGTGGACGGTGGCATGAGCTTCTATGATCTTTGAAAGAAGTATAAAGGTATCATTTGTTAATTTACTGTTTTAAGCGCAGTAGATAAATGTAAATTTGGATTGATCTTGATCCACTACAGATTGATGGACAAATGGGGAAATAGATCGCTTCCTTCATTGTTTACCTCTTTGATCCTCTTCATAAGATACGAAAAGCCTTCTGTTGTCAAGCTCCTGAAGGTACCACCGAAGGATACTTTCTCCGGAATGACATTGTGAGCATCACCTCCTTTCATGAACGTCACTGAGACCACCTGACGGTGACAACAAAGAGGAGATCATGCTATTATCAAAGCATCATCTGGATTTGTTGATTCGTTCTACTGCCCAGCCTAGGCTTCTTCTTTTTAATACAATCAGCAGCTCTCCTGTCTCCGATTCGTTAAAAAAAAAAAGATAGGCTACAAAGCTACAATAATGCTGAGACCACATACTGCAGACTGGAGGGGATCAATTTCCCGGGCAACAAGCATCTGAAGGCTGACGATGGCAGAGGATGCTGCAACAATGGGATCCACAGCATCCTGTGGCCCTGCAGCATGTCCGCCTTTTCCAGTGATCGTCACCAAAAATCTACCTGATGCTGCTAGAAATGGCCCAGGTCTGGAGGAAACGGTGCCTACAGGAAGTCCTGGATCAACATGCAGGCCGAAAATGGCCGACACATCATCCAGGACACCTTCTCTTAGAATATGATAAGCGCCTGCGTGACCTTCTTCTCCTGGCTGGAAGACAAGCCTCACAGTACCCTAGAAAATATACAGAAAACAAAAGAAGGAGAAAAAGCAGTTGACTAAGTGTTTGATCGAGTAATTGGGCAAACAGGGAAGGACATCAATCATGTCTTATTTTTATTAAACGAACTCTAATCACATATCTGCACGCATATATAATTGTCACTCCAAGGAAGATACAGGACTCAAGCTCACAAGTCCTGCTTTTTTATACAATACCTTCAAATCATCCTTCCGAGCATGAAGCAATTTAGCTGCCCCAAGAAGCATCGTTGTGTGAGCATCATGTCCACAAGCATGCATCTTTCCACTTTCCTTGCTCTTGTGTTCCCAGTCTACCAATTCCTGCCAAATGAATCGTCGCAAAGAAATTGGCAAAGCGGGAGAGCACATCTAAAAAAACAGAAATTGGCAAAGAGATAGTTTGTCCACACAATATAGAGGGCAAGAGTCATGCCACATTTCAAAGAGAGTTAATAACTGTTCGGGAGGCCGTAAACGATCGTGAATTATTTACTGCTGGCTGGTTTGGTGTGAGAGAAAAACACTGTTCCCAGCTAGAAATTTACGATCGTTTACGAGCAAGCGAACAGGCTGCTAGTTCGTCTGATGAGCATCACAACACGGCTCAAAATGAAAAGGACGTGCAGAAGAAGGATTCTGAAGATGACGACCCGGCTGGAATGGCAAGGCCCAAGAGAGTTACTAGGCCTGGGGTGGGGGGGGTTTGGGGGCGGCTCGAGCCCCTCGCCCCTGGAGCTCCCATGAATTTTTAGGTAAAGTTTTATTGTGTAGATGGGACTGAGACTTAAGATCAAGCAGCAGTCGGAGGTATGTTGCTGTCGCACTTTTGTTTAGCCCCCCTAAATTTTTTGATGGATCCACCACTCAGTACAAGAGTGTTCGGGCCCATGTGGCGTGTTTAGCTCTGTCGCTATAAGTAGCAAGAAAGTGAGCTGAGAGAGTCATGGAATTTGTAAACCTAAACTCTGAAACTCAATTCAATCCTTCCTTCTGCCGTTCTATTTCTTCTCCCCCAAGTTCTTCTTCCTCCTTGCTGGTTCTCTGCTAACAATTGGTATTGGCTTCCTCGTTCCAATCCTGGGCTCCGACTCCAATCTCCACCACCACCACTATACTCGCTTCCAACGCTCTCGCGATGCCATGGAACCGAACACCAAACTCCTGCTCAATGAATTCGCACAGCTTACGCACCGATTCGAGGAGTGGGATCAACGCTGGAGTTCCCGACCGTACTGCCACCGTCGACGCCACCTCCGCGCTCGATCGGCGCCTCGCTGGGCTGGCAAGAGCATTTTTAATGTGGATTGTTGCTTCATGTGCCACAACACAAGACACATTAAATCCATCCAAGATGCATCAAACTGAATTGATTCGTTTTTTGCAAACAGAAGAGAGAATAATTACTTGTCCCAATCTTTATATTTAACAAGCCCCTGAGATTCTTCTACTTTAATTAGTGCACCCATTTAGTTTAACTAAGCCCCTGAGTGGTTCCTCGGTTTGGGCCTCCTCCATAGGATGTATTGTGGAAGAAGTTCTGTGGTTCGTTTTCAGTCTAATTGATTAGGGTTTAAAATATCGGCCGATACATTCCGAAATTTCCAAGATACTCGTTTACTTGCTGGGCTCAAAATTTTTATTCTATCACCCAAAATTCTCAGAATTTTAAAATTTGTCCACCCAAATAGACGCCAAAGCCCACCCGATACTCTAACCTTAATCCCTGTTTCATTTTCTCTCCTCTTCTCTTCGAGGTTCAAGTTGCCACCGCCGCAACACACTCGCATGCTCCAGCAGCGTCGCTGCCCTCATCATTGAATAGACAATTGATAATATGGTTTTATTTAGTTTTTAAGTTAAATGGTTTATAAATGATCAGTGAGCTTTCCTGAACAAAATGAGTTTTTTTGTCTAATTTTTTCTGAAAAATATTTTCTGTTGCCTATAAATTTCTGATATATCCAATATTTGTCTTTATCACTAACCACTGGGATTTAGAAAATATCGGTAGTGTATGGTTGTTGCTTAACTGTTTACCTGCTGCTTCAGTTGCGCTGCCTGTTTCTCCTATGGATAGCAAGGACTTGAAGCTCTTTTGCTGGAACTATGTTGCAAGAAGAGAGACAGTGGACAGCTTCCTGGCAGTGGAGTTCCTGGGAAGGTTGTACACGGTTTTTGAATACGTGGCTGCAAATGGCACAGCGGGAGGCATCCTGGTGGCTTGGGACAGTGACCTGATTGACATGGCAACACAGCTTGTCAACTGCCAAACCGCTGCCGCAACACCTACGCTGTGCGTGGGGTTTTCAACTTAATTAATTTATAAAGCCCGCGATAGCTTTATAAAATGAAAGAAGATATCGGTGGCTTGTTAGAAGACGAAGGTAGCCAGGTAGGCTGTGTTACTGTTTGGGAGCCAAGTTGTTGTGGCTCATTATTGTGAGCCAGGTAGGCAGGTAGGCTGTGTTACTCCTAGATTGTGAGTAGTCCTTTTTTGCGTGCCGAGCCATCAGGTACACAGGTGTGTGGACAAGCATAATATACGCTAACAGTACCCTTGCCTAGCTTGGGGGTCTGCCAAATCTAGGGAGCTGTTTGTGCCACTGGCGCATGTAATTCTCTCTTCTCCTTATTATATATGCCGGCTTTTTCAGGAAACAAAAATGGCATGTGTGCTGCTTCGTTGGTGTTATTAGTTTGTTGGATGGATCTCTAAAGTCATCCTCCCCCCCCAAAAAAAAAAAACTTGTCAAGTAAGCAACCCAACAAGAACTGTAGGCATGAGAGCAACCACCATCGACGAGAGATTATTGCTATAGAAGTGTGCACTTTACATGGGGATTTTGGCATTTCACCCATCGTCGCAAACTGGTTTCGCACTTTTACCATCCCGTAAAGTGGTTTCACTCGTTTGCCATTATGAAACCGGTGTAACCCGCTGAAATACACTTTGGCTAGTTTTAATTCATAGGAAAAAAAAAAAAACACACCTCCTTCCATTTCTACCCCTGCCTGCTTTGTCCTGTGTCGAGGTCCAGGCCGCCGCCGCCATGGCCTGCGACGACGGGGACAAGGACGTCCTCCTCCTCGTCCACCAGGTTCCCCTCGACATGGAGGAGGGGCCAGCGCCCCGCCTGGCGCACCTCCTCCCCGCTCCACCACGCGCCCCCCCCCCCCTCCCCCCCCTTCTTTCGCCGCCGCCCCCCGCATCTACTCGAGCACCGCCTCTCCTTCCGCTGGGCCGGCTCGACATCCCCGCCATCGGAAGATCGGGTCGCCAAGCTCGCTTTTCCACGCCCGCCTCGGCGCCACCTCGGCATCCACGACGCCGTCCGACCACCGTCACCCTCCAGGACGTCGCCGCTCCGCCCGCTCCACGCCCGCCTCTGGCGCCACCTTGGCATCCACGACGCCGTCCGGTCACCGTCACCCTCCAGGACGTCGCCGCTCCGCCCGCTCCACGCCCGCCTCTGGCGCCACCTTGGCATCCACGACGCCATCCGGCCACCGTAACCTCCAGGACGTCGCCGTCCTCGCCGCTTCGCCGCCTCGCTCAATCAGAAGCGCTGCAGAAGAAGGCGCACCACTCCGCCTGGTTCAAGCACTTCTCGCGACGACAACGCCGACCCCGTCTTCGAGCACGCCGCCTTCCTCGCGCTCTGTCTCACGCGCTTCGTCCTCCTGGGCCACCCGGAGTCCACCATGCGCCAGGCCGTCTTCCCCATCGCCGTCCGCCTCGCGCGCGGGGAACGCGTTGCCCTCGCGTCCGCCGTCCTCGCCTCCCGTTGCTTCCTAGTCAACACGGGGACGACGCCGGTGGTGGAGGCGGAGCGCGTCGACAGAGTCGATGGCGAACTCGACGGCGTCCACGTGCGGGGGCAGGTGGAGGCCCGCGTCCCCGAGCAGGGCGCGGAGTTGGTCGATGGTGCCCTGGTGGAGGACGCAGCTGGCGGCTAGCAGGAGGACGGAGTCGAACATCTTGACGATGCGCGCTCCCGGCTGGTGGATGCTGAGCAGCACAGTGTGTCCGCGCGTCTCGGCCATGGCGTGGAGCGCGGAGGCGCTGTCAAGGCCGGAGGTGGGCTTGTCGAGGATGAGCACGGGCGGGTCATGCACGGCCTCGACGCCGATGGAGACGTGCCTTCACTCTCCGCCGGAGAGGGCTGATCCGTTTTGACGAAGACAACGGCAGGCAGGGGTAGAAACAGGAGGTGTTTTTTTTTTATGAATTAAAACTAGCCAAAGTATATTTCAGCGGGTTACACCGGTTTCATAATGGCAAACGAGCGAAACCACTTTGCGGAATAGTAAAAGTGTGAAACCAGTTTGCGACGATGGGTGAAATGCCAAAGTCCCCTTCACATGAGTTCAATCGAATTGCTTGCACCATCTGTTCTTTAAAACAGAGGCACGATCGAATTTAACCGAATGGGAGTATATGCATATACAACACAAAAGCACGAAAACAGTAGATACAGGACGAAAACACTACAGAATTTTTTGAACTTTCTGCAAGGGAAACATGCAGGAACTGATGCGAAACACATGCTCGACCCAACCCCAATCAACTCACGATCGAGATGTGCATACGGACCTGCAAGGGTAGCGCGTCCATGTCCGCCCGGAGCGCAACGACGGGCCCATCGCTGCCGCCGCCGCCGGCGATGGTCGCCACGACGCCCGTCTGCGCGACGGGCCACGCGTACGGCACGCCGATCGCGTCGAGCTCGGCGCGGACGAGCTCGCTGGTGCGGTGCTCCTGGAAGGCGAGCTCGGGGCGCTCGTGGATGCGGCGCCGCAGGCCGCGCAGCCACGCCGCGAAACCCGGCGCGCGGGCCGCGCCCAGGAGGTCGTCACCGAGAGACGACGGCGTAACCGCCGCCGCCGCGGCGCGCGGCGAGTCGTGGTGCAGTAGGACGAGGAGGAGGAGGAGGAGGAGGAGGAGGAGGAGAAGGAGGAGGGAAGTCGCAAGGAGACGCCGCGGCGGCTTGGCCATGGCCGCGGTGATCAGGTGAGTGGCGACGCGCCCCGCGAGCGACCGACTGAAACTAAACGCGCATGCACCTGCTCTGTTACACAGTCAGTGAGATAGCGCATCGGCCATTCGGCCTCCAGGCAAGTGAGGTAGCCGAGGTTTGTTTCTCTCCAAACCGTAGTTTTCTTCTCTCTGGAAAGCTACTTTTTGTGTTTTTGATACTGGAAAGCTACTTTCCAAAATATCTTCAGTCCAATATTTGGCGGTTCTGTGGCAAAGTTTAAGTGATCCTTTCACGTTGAGGCACCGCTAAACTCTAGTGTTGGAACACTTCCAATAAATAGAAAAAAAAAAAGACGTGGCTAGCGCCCGGATATGTGGATGTAAGCCCCCGTCCGGACGCCTGCACCTGTCTAGTCGCGCTGTCCGCCCTGACTGTTGTGCCTCACCTCCTTCTATGTTCCCGCCCCCACGCCGAGCACCCACCACCTGCATGCCCTGCTCCCTACTGCATGTAGCTACAGGACTGGCAACAATATTTCCTCTATATGCACGGTTCCCACACGAAATTAATGGGCTCCACTCATGAAGAAAAAGAACGACGCCTGCCCCGCATGCAACAGTTGCGCTTGCGCATGCACGCCGACCCCCGTATGCCGCAGCGCCTGCACGCCGTGTGCATACACATGCAATTGTGCGCCACATGCCTGTTGATGCGCATGCAGGTAGGGACCACCCACGCCCGCTTCGCTTGCCGCGCACGTTGAGACAGCTATACGCCCGTGGGGACCTCCTTTGCATGCGTCTGCTTCCTATGCCTGCTAATATTGCAACATGAAACACTTATGCAACATACGTATGAAACAGGTGAGACATTTATAAACGTACGTTTGCAACATATGTGTATAGCAACTGCAACATCCAGATAAACACACTTGCAACATATGCCTAAAACAGATGAAACATTTTGAATAGACGCTTGCAACATATGTGTATAGCCACCGAAACATATAGAACATCCAGATAAAACACTTGCAACATACGTCTGAAATAGATGAAACGTTTGAAACATACACTTGTAGCATACATGTATAGCCATTGCAACATATGCAACATCCAGATAAACACTTGCAACATATGTTTCAAACAGCTGAAACATTTGAAAGATATATTTGCAACATATATGTATAGCCATTGCAACATATGCAACACCAGATTTACTTTTGCAACATCCAGATAAAACATATGCAACATACATCTGAAATGCATGAAACATCCGTTTGCAACATGCGCTCATCTACTTGCCGCCGCCCAATGGAGGCTAGTTGACGCGGCGCGGGGGAGCACAACGCGAGCGCGGGCGGCGCGGCACGAGTGGGAGACGAGGTGCAAGGCATGGATAGCGCGCAGCGCGAGGCATGGGCGGGGTGTGCTGCACGAGGCACGAGGTGTGCGCGGCTCGAGACGGGTACGGTGCAAGGCGCGACTGTGTGAGGGGCAGTTGCGCATGGCGCGAGGCGGGTCCATCCCGTCCGTCCGAACGCCTTGAGGGTATCATTATCGGGAAAAAAATCTCATCATCAACGGTTTCCAATAATTTAAGTCTAAAAATAGAAAGTAGATCTACTTAAAGTTTTTTTTGTCATAGCGCCACACCGGTGACTTTTTCGTCATAGTGCCACACCGCCGCCACCACCATTGGCACCTCCAGCTGTCCATCTCCGGCACCTAGCTCACATCAAGAACCTCAAAAACGGAATCGTAATTACTTGCTCTATCTTTTAGTATTAGAAAGGCTTGCAAAACAATAATTTAGAAAAAAATAAAGTCTGGAGTTTCTAAAACTTCAGAAAACTCACAGTTTCAAGAATATTATAGCTTTTAAAATTACATTAATGCATCCAAACACCTCTGATCTCCCAAAACCAAAGTATCTTATAAACCACAATATTTTCCTAAAACTTGAGAAAAACATGGTACCCAATTAGGACGTTAACACTTGTCCACTTTTTCTGGGGCATTGATAAATATGCCAAGCTTTAAATTGGTCCAAACCAAATCTCATAATACTTTCTTCTCTTCCAGTTCACTTTAATTTGTATCACATTTAACTTCATCAAAAGATTAGGGGCCGCGCTTATCTCAAAGTTGATCTTCGAAATGGTTCTGATTTCTGAGTTTTATCGACTATAGGAAGTTTTGTAATTCTAACGAAGATCTTGACCTACTCGGCTACTCATAAAATAAAGACTATGAAGATCATGGTAATTACTGCGCATGATGCAGCAAATTTCGACAGATATGCATTACATTACAGTTTACAACATTCATGGATGCTCATCTTTTCATTCCAGTTTGATATGACACACTAAAAGAATTTGCATTTCCTTTTCGAGAAATCCATCCAGCTCCTTGATCGGACCGACCAAAACTGCTCCTTAGTTTCAGGGAATCAGGTGCACTGATTTTTGTTCAGATACTCAATTGCCACAGCAGCATGGAACGCCGCTCCAATAGGAAGAGCGTCCTCATCCATGACGAAGTACGGCAAGTGCACCGGGCGCACCCTCTCCATGGTGGTCTGATTGCCGACGCCGATCAAGAAGAAGGCACCCGCTGCCCTCTGTGCGTAGAATGCAAAGTCCTCGCCACCCATGGTCTGCGGAGCAATCTTGACGTTGGCTTTCCCAAGCATGCCCTCAGCAACTTCCTTGGCATGCGCGTACATCCTTTCATCGTTGACGGTGGTCGGGTACGTCCGGAGATCCTCCTCCAGGAAGTCGACGGTGGCGGTGCACGGCGGCTTGTGCTTCAATGATCTTCCATACAAACATCAGATTGTCGCTTTGCATTGTCAGTTGGTGGGGAAGGCATCCATTGTCAGGTTGTCACTTTGCATTATATTGTCATTACGTACCTCTTTGACCCTCTTCATGAGAAATGATAGACCTTGATCTGTCATGCTTCTGAAGGTGCCACGAATTGTCACAGATTCAGGGATGACATTGAAAGCATCACCTCCTTTCAGCATTGTGACAGATACCACCTGAAAGTTAATTAGCAACCCAGATGAGATGACAAATCCATCATTTTTCAGACGAACTGCTAGCTAGAAAACTAAATAATGAACAATCATATATTCATATGGGTGTGGTAATCAAGCTGATCATGTACAGCACCTTCAAGAGGGTCAGTTTCCCGGGACACAAGTTGCTGGAGGCTGAGGACGGCAGAGGACGCAGCGATCACAGGATCAATGGTATCGTGAGGGCCGCCGGAATGCCGGCCTTTTCCGGTGAGCGTTGCCGTGAACCGAGCTGCTGCTGAAAGGAAAGGCCCTGGCCGGGATGCGACAACGCCTACTGGAAGATCTGGGATGACGTGCAAGCCGAAGATGGCCGAGACATCGTCCAGGTCAACTTCTCTCAGAACGAAATAGGCCCCAGCGTACCCCTCTTCTGCTGGCTGGAACACAAGCTTTATTGTACCCTGAAGACGAATATCACCATAATTTAATGAGAAGTGATCAACCACAACATGGTAGCTTTCTTGCGATATATTCAATGGTGACTTTAATTTCATCATCACAGAAGTATAAGTTTATTTGCGAATTACCTTCAGGTCATCCTTCCGAGATTGAAGAAGCTTAGTAGCTCCAAGGAGCATCGTGACATGAGCGTCATGTCCACAAGCATGCATCTTGCCATCTTCCTTACTCTTGTATTCCCAGTCTACCATTTCCTGCCAAAGGACGACATTATCTATCATTTTCAAGGAAATAGCCACACAATAGCACCATGTTAACAGTTTAGAACCCTTGTGGTGTAATCGCTAACATAATTAATATGGTAGTTTCAGTAAAAATCGTGTCGATCGTGTGCAGATCCAAATAAATATGATACGTTGAACTGCTGCACAAGGTGTAGATTTTACTGTCGTTTTCGTTCTTACAATGTACGTCATGTTTGATTTGTCTAACACATTATGCCGTGCAAGATGTGGCCAAGAAATGACTCAGATGTTGTGTTTGTTGTTCCATGTCGTTTTCATTTCTAGTACTTACATCATGTGTGACGTTACAAAAGGGACTATATTCTAAGATTTATCACAATCTCCACAGCCTCATTTTGACTACTTAAATTGGGCGTTAAGAGCATCTACAGCAGTGCTACCAAAATCAGACCCCCTACGTCTCGATTTGGGTAGTCACCTATTTCAACACTATCCATTTTTCGTTGTTTTCTTCTGCAAAACTATCTAAAATAGGCCGCCCAAAACTATCCTAGCAGAGAATGATATGCGGGACCCATATGTCATCCTCTCTCATGTTCTCCTCGCCATAGACGCTAGGGAGATGCACCGGCAGTGTCGAGGCGGGCATCGGCGGCGAAGCAGAGGCAAGGCGGAGGTGCGCCTGCGCCGGGCAGGGCAGGCCACGCTTGAGAACCGTCGGCAGTTGGGCGGGCTCCTGACCAGATGGCAGCTGGGCGGGCGGCAGCGGCTGGGCGACTGTTGCTGGCGGGCTGGGCGAATGTCAATGGCGGACCGTCGGCCATTGGCGCGGTGGCTTGGTGAATACCGTTCGGTCGAGACAAAAGCGTTGTGCAGGTCGCGCGAGTGGAGAAGTCGAGCGGAGAAGTAACAGGGAAACAATTTTGGGTAGGGGAGTAGGGGGGCAACATGAATGGGCAGCGGGGGAGGGAAAATAGGAGGCCAATAAATCTGAAGGGTCCTAGTTAGAGTCTGCTGGAGCTGATTTTTTTGCTTCCACTATCCAACTTGGGAATAGGGGGCCTAGTAGGGGTGCTACTGAAGTTGCTCTAAGAAATGCAAGTAAATACACAAAATATCATAATAGGTCTCTTGCGTTGGGACACAAATATATGGTAAGGGTCTGTTTGGTTGGTGGCTTCAAAAGGCTGCCTAGGTTAGATATACTTTCTAAGCATTGAATTTTTAATATCTAGGGTCAGGATATGTTAAATGGCACGATAGGCATTTATGTGTCAGGACTCCAACTAAAGAGGCCCTTCCTCGAGAGAAAGCGAGGAGGGGCTAGCTGTATGGCCTTCCTCGGGAGAGGGAAAATATCATAATAGGTCCTATCAGACAAAAATAGGACGGAGCAGCTGTGGTAGCAATGACATATCCTCCAGATATGAGAATTATACAATGGACTGCGACATACATCATCAGACGCTGAACCATCATCATCACGCCTAAAAAAACTCCACAAGTTTTCATATTATCATATAGCAACGATCACATTGGCAGTCGATCCTCAATTATACTCCTTCCGTCCTAAAATAGAAGTCGTTCGAGCTTCCCAAGAAGTCAAATTTTTTTAACTTTGACCGATTATATATAAAAGAATATTAATATTTATAATACATAATTAGTATCACTAGATAGATTGTTGAATATTCTTTCATAATAAACTTATTTGGAGATATAAATGTTGCACGTATTTTCTTCAAATCTAGTCAAAGTTGAGAAAGTTTGACATGCACGCATCTCATAACGACTTGTATTATGGGACGGAGGCAGCATTTACAGATCTGAGGATCATTAAATTATACCATGAATCTTCATCAGTTCAGTAAAAAGAAATTAACTTTTACTGCAACGAAGCATTGAACACTTTGAGAACTCTGATCACTACCTGATGTTCAAATGAAGAGCAAAGAGAACGCAGCAACCATAGCATAGCAAGCGAGTGAATGCAAGGGAGCATAGTGCGTGCCAACACAATTACACAACAGTAGTTCAACACTAACCTGAACGGGTAGCGCGTCCATGTCAGCCCGGAGAGCTACGACGGGACCGACACCGCGGCCGCCGCTGGCGATCGTGGCAACGACACCTGTCTGGGCGACGGGCCAGGCGTAGGGGACGCCGAGCGCGTCGAGCTCTGCGCGCACCAGCTCGCTGGTGCGGTGCTCCTGGAAGCTGGAACGCCAGCTCCGTCCGGGTGCTGGTGGATGCGCCGCCGGAGGCCGCGCGTCCACGCCGCGAACCCTGGCGCACGGGCCGCCCTTAGAAGGCCGTCGGCGAGAGCAGTCGTCGCTGGGCCAGAGACGGCAGCCACCAGGTGTGGGACGAGGACCATGGCGAGCATGAGGAGGCGGCGGCGAGAAGCAGATGACGATGCCATGGACGCGAGCGCCACGAGACTTCTGCTCACGTTTTCTTCGTTGGAGTCGGACAATGGTCAATGGGACACAACAGACGGCTGGTAGCGGTAGGACGGCCACTTTGTACACTACAGTTGCCTGGAGAACTGGGGAGATCCTCTTTTGTTTGTCGCTCCATTACAATTCTCATTTCTCAAGAAGTCCAATAATTCTAAATTTCACTAAATCATATAAAAATAATTATATTTATAATACTAAATAAATGTTATTATTATATTAATTATGTAGTATATTTTTTTATAAATATGGTTGGAGATATAAATGTGTTATTAGGGTGTATGACAGAAGTGCTTGATGGCGTATAAATTGTGTGGGTTGTGTTGTCTGTCATGGGCCGAAAGGCTGGTAGCGGGCCGATGTGTAAGGATCAGCTGTACAACGATGCTTGAGTGGATTTATGAACCTGTGTATATCATAAATAGAAAGACATGATAGAATAATTCTCTCTTGTTCTTGCTACTCTCCCCCAATTCTAGTCCGAGAACAACAATTGTTGTTACCTTCCTCGCTAGGAACATAACAATTAGTATCAGAGTCTGTGTTACTGTTTCTTTCCTCACTAGAAACGTAACAAAATACTAATATTATCTTTTATAAATTTAGTTAAATTTTAAAAAGTTTGCCTTGTCCTAAATCTAAAATTGAATTTTCTTTTTTTATGGAAGTAGTAGGACGCAAGATGAAAACTCTAATTTTAGAATTATATATTTTTGTCCTTTTGTTTATTTATATATTTCACACACAAGACTGCACGTATATTAATTAGTGTTTTGTGGATTTTTATCAGAGCACTTCAATTTAGCGACAAATGTATCTTAAAGTCATCGTAGACTTAAGGATCCTATCACTCTGCTTTGTTTCTTTTTTCGAGCATAACTTAATTAGCAGGTGCTGTGTCTTTTCATTCAGTAGTTACATGGATATTCCACTAGTAGTGAAAAGAAGAACCAAAAGAAGAAAAGTACGAGACGAAATGAACAGAAAAGTAGTAGTAGAGTACTATACTAGGTATAATTTTTCGTCTGATTAATTCAGTGCTTTTGTTAGCTAATTAATTCAGCGTATGGTTTAACTCCATGCTCTATCAAACTGTCTTTTGATTAAATCCTAGGCTTTGTCAGAGTTTAGTTAGGGTGATGATATATTAATCTGGAAACATTAAATTTATCTTGTGCAGTCATTCAACCCTCCCTCCACCCCCACAATTCGAAAAAGCATAGCGGGAGAGAATGCCCAAAATATTCAAACAGGGCTTGTATTTCCAATTCAGTTTAGGTTGATGCATGATTCTTCTTCACATATTCAATTGCCACACCGGCATGGAATGCAGCTCCGATGGGAAGCACATCCTCATCGATCACAAAATAGGGTGAGTGAGTGGAATGGATTGTCTCCATGGTGCTTTTGTTGCCAACTCCAATGGTGAAGAAGGCGCCCGCCATTCTCTGCGCATAGAACCCGAAATCCTCTGCACCCATTACCTGGGGACCAAGCTTGACGTTCTTTTCCCCAAGGAGGCTCTCAGCCACTTCCTTTGCGTGAGCATACATCCTTTCATCATTGATCACAGCTGGATATCGCTTCATTGTGTCCTCCATGAAGTCCACAGAGGCAGTGCAATGATGTACCGCCGACTGTCCTTCTACGATCTTCCATAGAAGCATTTATAAATAGTACGTAGTAGTAAAAAACTGAAACTATGTAGTTTAGGTAATGAGAGGAGTTTACCTCTGTGATCCTCTTCATGAGATATGATAAACCTTCATTTGTCATGCTCCTCAAGGTGCCACCAAAGGTCACAGACTCTGGAATAACATTGTAAGCTTCTCCTCCTTTCATAAAAGTGATTGATACAACCTGAAATATTTAGTGAAGAAGAGGAACCATCAATCTTTTAACATATGTAGACAATTTTAGTATTTTACCAGAAAAGGTTCAACATTTACAGTAAACGAAAAATACTACCAAAAGTACAGTTAAGCAGAAAACATACTGCACCCTGTAGGGGATCTATTTCCCGAGAAATAATTTGTTGAAGGCTGACGATAGTAGTGGCTGCAGCTAGAACAGGATCAACGGATTCATGGGGCATTGCAGCATGCCCACCTTTACCAGTAACTGTTGCTAGGAATCGACCTGACGTTGCTGCAAAGGGTCCTGGCCTAGATGAAACGACACCTACAGGAAGGGCTGGGTCAACATGCAAGCCAAATATGGCTGACACATCGTCAAGAACACCTTCTTGTAACACATAATATGCACCACCCTGACCCTCCTCTGCCGGCTGGAATATAAGCTTTACAGTGCCCTGATGATCAAGCAAGAACACCAACAATATAGAATCATGGAATTTATAAATTGATCTGTTTAATTTGCTGGTTAAGCAGTACCTTTAGATCACTCTTGCGATCTTGAAGTATTCTAGCAGCCCCCAGAAGCATTGTTGTGTGTGCATCATGTCCGCAAGCATGCATTTTCCCACTTTCCTGGCTCTTGTGTTCCCAATCCACCAACTCCTGCCAAATAGCAATGTTATACCAGGGTAAGTATTTTTTTTCCAAATGATAATTGAAATCTGTGCAAAGTACAGAAAGAGTTTGTGCTAGCTTTAATTTATAAGGCATATGGAAGTTATGGTGCTAGTTTGGACAATGCAAACCATATATACCAATGTGGAGTAATTATTTTCCGTTTTCTCCTAGTTGATCTGATCTCTGCCTTTTAGATTACAACAATAAAAAACTGATCTCTTTTTAAAAATCATTACAACATTGATATTTTGCTTTCACATGTGGAAGCTGTGCCGTACTATTATCCTCTACCAAATTTCTCAATGTGCTCATATGTCCAATTAACATGAATGACCAAGAAAGCAATATCCTTGACAAAAATATCAACAAACTAGCGAGATAAAGAGAATGTGGCATTCAGTTAGGACAAGATAAGATAGAAGATCATTTCCAAAAGCTCCAACTCCAGAATTTGTTTTTTTTTTTTGGCAAAAAGGAAAAAATGATCATCCAACAGTTTTGATTTGAACTCCCTAAAAGTAAACATTTGGTAAACCTTTCCTTCAAATCCCAGATATGTGCATGCATTTCGCATTGTGCATCGTGCCTCTTGTGTTGTTTCCCCCTCCTGTTCGGTCTTCCTACATTCCCCCCCTCCTGCTTGCGGCCTCCACCCCTCCCCCAGCAAGCTGGGGGCTCTCTACGACTGGCTAGGGGGCTTATAGGGGGCAGCAGCAGCAGCAGGCTGGGTGGCAGAATTGATTTTTAGCAACCAAATATTATAAATAATTAAAAAGGGTAAAAGTTAGCTCCCTACTCAATTTGCCAAATTGGTATGGGGCGCGTTTGGTTCGTCTCCACACCGCGCCTAACATTAGCCAACGTTTGCTTCGTGACCTAACTTATGGCGAGCCGCACTTTGCCTACGCGGTGCTAGTTCATTTGGATGCAGCTACCAAAACTCTAGCGCCAGCTTTGCTTGCCAGACTTTTAGCGCAGCCAGAGTTGAGTTGCGGCGATTCTATGGTAACAAGCCAAACAGAGCCATAATCCGTAATTTGGCAAGTGTTTTTTAAAAGCTCTTGCATATACTCCAAACTTAAAGTATCCTCCAACTGCTAGCTGGGTCCTAAATTAATATACTCCCTTTATTTGAAAATAAGAAAGCGTGGTTCGATTTAACTGGCTTCCAAAACTCAATTTTGACTTGTAAATTCCCTGAAATATACTATTACGATTATATACAAATAACATCATAACCATAAGAAAGCACATTCGGTGATGTAACCATGTAACATAATATGTATAACAAGATTGTTCTCATGTGAAAAAATTTGTTATTACAAGGTTTGGCCTACACGCCTTGTATATAAAAAAAATAAAATGGTGGACCGTGCGATGATGGGGCGTTTTAGACGCTTCCTGGATGATGTGGAAATCAAAGAAATCCCTCTTTTGGGTCGAAAATTCACATGGTCTAATGAACGTGCTTCGCCCACTCTGGTTAGATTGGACCACGCCTTCTGTTGCCTCAGATGGGAGGAGTTTTTTCCTGACTCAGCTTTCCAGAGCACTGCTTCAGTCGTGTCTGATCACTGCCCTCTTGTTCTTGGGATGAAGGTTTGTACCAGTGGCAAGAGGCGTTTCCACTTTGAAAGTTTCTGGCCTAAGGTTCCGGGATTTTTGGATGCTGTTCTGCAGAATTGGGAAGCCCCGCTGGCCTCGACATGTGCTGTAGAACGGCTGTTCCTGAAGCTCCAGCGACTAAGTAGGGATCTGCAGAAGTGGGGGCAACGTAAGATTGGTCATATCAAACTCCAGCTGGAAATGGCGAAGGAAGTTCTCCATCGCCTTGAGATTGCCAGGGACTCAAGGGCTCTCACAGACAGTGAGGAGTGGTTAAGAAGAAAACTCAAACTTCATTGCTTAGGTCTGGCTTCTCTCGAACGGACCATTGCTCACCTTCGCTCCAGGATCCTTTATCTAAAGGAGGGTGATGCCAATACATCCTTTTTCTATCAGCAAGCGCGTTTCAGAAAGAAAGAAAAAATTTCATCGCCAAGCTGCAGGTGGATGATCAGGTGCTTTTTGATCAGGAGGAAAAGCAGGAGGCAGTGCTGGATTTTTATGAGAACCTGTTGGGGACAGCGGAGGAAAGGGAGTACACCATTGATCTTGATGCAATCGGGGTACAACAGCATGATCTCTCCACATTAGAATGCCCTTTCTCTGAAGAAGAAGAAGTGTCGGCTACAATCAAGGGGATGCCTCTGGACAAGGCCCCAGGGCCTGATGGTTTCACTGGCAGATTTTATAAAACATGTTGGAATATCATCAAGGGTGATATCATGTTGGCACTTGAAGCAATTCAACGCGGTCATGTTTTCAAGTTCAAGCTCCTCAGTACGGCTTTCATCACCCTCCTACCCAAGAAACCTGATGCTCTATTTATAAAGGATTTCAGGCCAATAAGTCTGATACACAGTTTTGCTAAGCTGGTTACCAAAGTCATGGCCAACAGGCTGGTACCTTTGCTGCCTACTCTGGTCCCTTCTAATCAGAGTGCTTTTGTCCGAGGAAGAAGCATCCATGACAATTTTTTATTTGTCCAGCAAATGGTAAAAGCTTTACACAGAAAGAAGGAGGCTCACATCCTTCTCAAGCTAGACATCTCTAAAGCTTTCGATTCAGTTTCATGGCCTTTTCTTCTGGGGGTCCTGCAGCATCTTGGTTTTGGGCAGCGGTGGTGTAATCTTTTATGCCTGATCCTGTCCACCTCCTCTACTCAAGTGCTGGTCAATGGGGAGCCAGGTGCTGGTTTTTTCCATCAAAAGGGCCTCAGGCAAGGGGACCCTCTTTCCCCCATGCTCTTCATCTTGGTAATGGATGTGTTAAACTCTCTGATTAAATTTGCCACTGCTGAGAATCTCCTGCAACCTTTGGCAGTCCAGCAGGTCAGGCACCGGGTTTCTTTCTATGCGGATGATGCAGTTATTTTTCTACGGCCCAGCAGCTCTGACCTCCTAGTTATGAGGCAGGTGTTGGATCTGTTCGGTCAAGCGTCTGGACTTCATACCAATTTTTCAAAAAGCTCTTCCTCCCCAATTCATTGCTCAGATGAAGACTTGCAGCAGACCTCTGATATTTTGGCCTGTACAATCAAAGATTTTCCATGTACCTATTTGGGTTTGCCACTGACCTTGAGAAAGCCAACTAAGGAGGTGTTCCAGCCCTTCATTAACAAGGTCGCGGACCATCTACCAGGTTGGAAAGCTTCACTGATGAATAGAGCAGGCCGTTTGGTTTTAACACGGGTGGTCCTGACAACCACTGTAATTTACCTTCTGATTGCGGTGGATCTTCCCAAATGGGTTATCAGAGCCATCGACAAGAAACGGAGGGGATTTTTATGGAGAGGACAGGAAAAGGCTAATGGAGGAAATTGCCTGGTAGCCTGGGAAAAGGTTTAGAGGCCTTTTGAATATGGAGGGCTGGGCATTCACAATCTGGAATTTTTTGGTTGGGCACTTCGCAGATCCATCAAGACCTTGGGCTGGTCTCACCATCCAGGTACCACAAAAAAGCTCAAGCCTTGTTTCATATGGCGGTTGATGCAATAGTTGGAAATGGGGACACAATTTTATTCTGGTCAGATCGCTAGATAAATGGCAACACTATGGCAGAAATAGCTCCCGACCTTTATAAAGCTGTCCCCAAAAGGTTGGTGAGATCAAGGACAGTAGCACAAGCTCTAAATAATAGGGTCTGGGAGTCTGACATAAAAGGGGCTCTCACTGTCCCAGTTCTGTTGGACTATTTTAGGATTTGGGATTTGTTGGATAGAGTGGTCTTGCAGCAGGAAGTTCAGGATCATTTTCAATGGAAGCTGACCCAAACTGGTACATATAGCAGCAAGTCCGCCTATGAGGCCTTCTTTGTTGGTTCCATAAAATTTGTAGCATGGCGAGGAATATGGCGGAGCTGGGCACCTCTACGCTGCAAATTCTTCATTTGGTTGGCATTAAAAGGAAGGAACTGGACGGCAGATCGCCTGGCCAAGCGTGGGCTGCAACACCCTGACGCCTGTCCTCTGTGTGACCAGGCACAGGAAACAGCCCAGCACCTTCATTTATCATGTGTGTTCACTCGTCAGGTTTGGTTCTTCATTTTCCAATATCTGAACCTGGTCGTCAACTTGCCCACGGCTGAGTCCTCTAGTTTCTCGGCTTGGTGGTGCAACACCATCCGGGCAGTGCCAAAAGATATGCGGAAAGGCTTGAACTCTCTCATCATACTTGTGGCCTGGGAGGTTTGGAAGCACCGCAACTCCTGCGTGTTTGAAGGAGCACGTCCAAGCATCCAGGTACTACTTCAAACAGTGGCAAATGAGAGCTCCTTGTGGTGTATGGCTGGGGCCTCAAAGCTCCAGGAGCTCCTCACTAGGTCGCTGGTGCTGGGCACTTAGGCGCCATGGCTACCGGTCAAGTCTGCGATTTTTTGTTGGCAATTTTTGTTTTCTGTTTTGGTGGGTATGTTGGTGTGCAAGGCTTGGGGGTCTCCCTTAATCTTTTGTATTTGTTCACTTCTTTCTTAATGAAATGACGGGCAGCTCTCCTGCATAGTTCGAGAAAAAAAAACCTATTGTCCTCACATATCTCAATTCACATTTAACCTGCCGACCAACTGTTCAAAAGAATGGCCTGAACCGGGTGAAAACACAATTATATTAACCTAGCATTACTAGTACTACCCTCGTTCTAAACTAAATCAATTTTTAGAATAAACTAAAATTAAACTATTTTAAGTTTGATCAACTTTATAAAAAAGAGAATACCAAAATTAGTATATTATAAAAAAAATTATTGCATATCTAGTAATAGTTATTCGGTGTCATATATATTATTGTTTTTCTATACATTTGATTAAATTTAAAATAGTTGGACTAAGGACACTTATAAAAGTTGATTTATTTTGGACGAACGACGTACTAGTACGAGACAAAGCAAGTCATTAACCCCTCGGAGAAAGAAAAACAAACAGATGCATCATCTTACACAAAATCAGTTGAGTCGGGTTAACTAAATGAACCTTCGCCTTTAGTTCCAGAGAATGATGATCACAGCCAGCCAAAAACAAAAAAAGTTGGGATGAATTTAATGCTCGAATTAAGTAAACCCCTGAGGGCATCGAATTCGAATCCCACGTGGGATTGTGCGAACTGGGGGAACAACCAAACGTGGCGTGCAAGATTTTGTCGGCACCGCTGAGAAAGATCTGCAAAGGAACAAACAAGAGACGGGCCGGGCGGGGCACGGACCTGCACGGGGAGCGCGTCCATGTCGGCCCGGAGCGCAATGACGGGCCCGGGGCCGGCGGCGGCGCCGACGATGGTGGCCACGACGCCGGTCTGGGCGACCGGCCACCTGTAGGGGACGCCGATCGCGTCGAGCTCGGCCCGCACGAGCTCGCTGGTGCGGTGCTCCTGGAAGGCCAGCTCGGGCCGCTGGTGGATGCGCCGCCGCACGCCCCGCAGCCACGCGGCGAACCCCGGCGCGCGCGCCTCGCCGAGGAGCTCCGCCGCCGGCGCCGGCGCCTCTGCCGAGGCGAGGGAGAGCTGCGAGCAGAGCAGGAGTGGTAGGAGGAGCAAAGTGGAGAAAGAGACGGCGGCGGCGGCGGCCATGGTAAGATCACCCGGCCGGTGGCAACGGGCAGCAAAGGTGGAAGGAGATTCACTTGGGTGGTCGGAGGCGGGCAGACGGCTTTCTTTGAGTCAAGTGGCGAAGTGAATCGAACGGCCCAGAGTTTTTTCGGGGGTTTCGAGAGGGCCGAGTCATCGAGCTACCTGCCTTCCATTCGCGTTCGGGATTAGCCTTTTGGCGTTTTCTTTGACCACATGACTTTGGGCTAGACGGAATCATCAAAAGACCAGTCATTGTTGTTTTGGCATCCTCCAACTCCGACAACCTTTTTCGTAGTATTTCTTATCTATAGACGCAACTTGTTATTTCGGGCCTGTTTGGTATCATGGCCCGAGAACCTGGCTGCACCCGTGGGCTGTAATGCCGCCCATGTTTGATGCCTAGTAAACCTCACCTTCCGGCCCGGCCGCCCGCGTGCAAAACACGCTCCACCTGGAGAAACGGTCTGCACCGTTGGGTACAGATGCACCAAACACAAGCAGGTGCTCCTCACCAGCCTTGTCGGAGCTGGCCACGGCCAGGCTTGCGGGCCGAGCCGGCCTCAGCACTGATATCAAACGTGCCTCCACACACACACACACACAGAGAATATTCAGTAGCCAGCTACAAAATAAGTTATTTTATAGCCACCTCCATTTACGATAATTTTATATACTAATCTACGATAATGTCAATACATATTTACGATAGTTGGGTTACTATAAAACATGAGGATATTTACCATAACGTTATAGTAAACCACTTAATAAGGCGTTACTATAATCTCGTAAATTAATATAGTAATTATCGTAACTCAAAATGGCTACAGAATAAGCTATCTTGTTGCCCGCTTCAGAGTAGTAGTTCTCTCTCTCTTTCTCTATATATATATAGAACTACTGTTCTACGGCTGGCCATAGAATAACTTATTCTGTGGCCACTTTGAGTTACGATAGTTACTATGCTAATTTATGAGACTACAGTAACTCCTTACTAAGTGATTTAATATAACATTATGGTAAATATCACCGTGAGTTGTAGTAACACGAGTATTGTAAATGCATATTCATGTTATCGTAAATTTGTACAAATATTATCGTAAATCAAGGTGGCCATAGAATAAGTTATTCTATGGCCAGCTACAGAATAGACTTACCCATCACACACATATCCTTTGTGTTTTCGACAAGTTCAACAAATTAAATCACATATATTTTACAAAAAAATGTAAAATATAATGGCGCGCAACAACCTAGGCTATAGATAATAATAATATCGTGACAATAGGTTAGTTAAACGGTAATGTTGTGTTAGGGACGTCCGTCCATCCGGACATTCTCATTGGTGGGCCACGAGCCCACGACACCACCTCAACACTCTTCACTTGCGTATGCGCTTGTCCACTCGCCTCCAACCATATCAGCTCATGAGCCCATCGTCCACTCCTCACCAAGTCTCCATTCACCGCAACTTTTGCGTCCGCACCGCCGCAGTTAGCTCTAACGCGACCACACCGCCGTGGTGTTCTCCACCGCGCCCGATCGGCCGTCGTCCTCTCTTTCCTCTCCACCGGGCCTTCCGCCCGCCACGACGTTCTCCACCGTGCCGGCCGCCTTCTCCACCGGAGCTGCACGCCACTCCGCGGCATCGAGCTCCACGCCGGCGTTGAGCTCCGCGTCGACGAGTCTCCATTTGTCTAAGGCAGCAAGTAGATGTTGTGCTGCAAGCGTATGTTTCAAGTGTTTCAGATGCTTTAAAGGTATGTTGCAAGTGTTTCGTATGGATATTGCAAAAGTAGATCAGAATGTTGCATATATTGCAATAGTTGCACACGTATGATGCAATCGTCTATTCCCAATGTTTCGTCTATTTTTAGACGTATATTGCAAGTGTGTTTATCTGAATGTTGCATATGTTTTCACACATATGTTGCAAGTGTTTTATTTTGATGTTGCATATGTTTACAATGGTTGTCAAGTATTTTTAGGTGTTTTTGCGAGTGTTAGACGCATGTTTCAAGTGTTTCATCTGTCTTCAGACATATGTTGCAAGTGTTGCATCTGGATGTTTCAAAAGTAGATCGGGGTATTGCACATGTCATAATGTGTGATCGCTTGCTGCAGCTGCTGGAGGGGGCACGAGGGGGCGGGCGGGGCGCAGATGCCGCGTGGGGTCGGGTGGGGCGCAGACGCCACATGGGTTCGGAAAGGTACGCGGAGTGCAGACATAGGAACCCGGGTGCAGGCGCGGGCATCTACCTGGGCGCTAGCACTGCCGTAAATTAAATCACCTGACCTTGATTGGTGATGCCCCTACTCAATCAAGCAAACAGCCTTCATAACTTTTGTCGTATTTCGCCGGTGAACGTAAGTTCTTGTTTGGATGTCTCATTTCAGTTTCATTCGTAACATACGTGTCGGATGGCCATCGGTGCTGTGGGTAGAGAAGAAGAATCGGAGGTGGCTAGGCGCTTCAAGTGGCAAAAGCAAAATCATGCCATGCATACTTCACGATCTACCACTACGAGGGAAAGGCTTTTATTCTGAGATAGATGATCAGTGCTGCACACGATGACACAAGACATATGGGATGATCTAGCTCATTCTTTGATTCGATCGGCTGATCAACCATTTGCTTCAGTTTGCCATAGGGGCGGATCTAGGATGGGGAAAAAGGAGGGGATAAATAGTGAAGATTTACAGCTAAAGCTAAAGTTTAATGGTGATTTGAGGCTAAACAACAATGATTTAATGGAGAAATGAGGCTCGTGATGGGGCTGCAGCCCCCCTTGGATCTGCGGTTTGCCGATCCAATACCTACGGAATTGTCTGCACTTTGATCCGGTTTTTAGACCTACGACTAACAAATACCTTAGACCCTATTTCGATCCTCTGCACTTCTTCAGACAGAATTATATGCTTACTTATAAAAAAAAGAATTTAAGAAGATGGATTTTGATACTTTCATGAATTTCTCGTGCAAGATGCTAACATTTGCTAAAGAATCAAGATCGTCCTAGATTCACTTCAAATTAGGTACATGTTGAAATAGGGTCTCATGCACCATCCTAGTAGGTTTATGTCCTAAAAGTTGTATATATAATTTAAATAATTGTCAGTCAAGGGAATATTAGATAGTTCTTCCTAGTTTTAAAGACTATCTCCAACTAATAGGGATCCTAAACAGAGCATCTAATTTATTTTTTAGGGCTAGATAAAAAAAGAACCTTCGGCTAACATAGTGAAAGCTCTATTTTTGTTTTGGTGAATTGATGAAACCCTAAGTGCTAACCTAGTTTATAAAGTGATTATGAGATAGGTAGCACTACTCCAAGTGGTGAAGCAAATGAAGATCTCATGACATGACGATGGTGTTGCCATGGTGATGATTAAGTGCTTGGACTTGGAAAAGAAGAAAGAAAAACAAAAGGATAAAGGCAAAGGTATAAATGGTAGGAGCCATTTAGTTTCGGTGATCAAAACACTTAGCGAGTGTGATCACATTTAGGTTCGATAGCTGTACTATTAATAGGGGTGAAACTCGTATCGAAATGCGGTTATCAAAGTGCCACTAGATGCTCTAACTCATTGCATATGCATTTAGGATCTAGTGGAGTGCTAACACCCTTAAAAATGTTTGTGAAAATATGCTAACACATGTGCATAAGGTGATACACTTGGTGGTTGGCACATTTGAGCAAGAGTTAGTAACTTCACCGGCGGAATGTCCGCCTGTAGAGTGCGGACAGTTCGACGGCGCCACCGGCGCCCTGTACAGAAAAGATAGGGTTTCACAGAGTGGACCGAACTCTGGCCTCAATTGGACCGGTGCGTCCGGTCAGTAGAAGCAGTGAAGACGCTGGCGTCGGTCTTCGATCGGACGCTGGGTCACTTCATGCCCGGACACTGAGTGGGTGCGTCCAGTCCCACTGACGTGGCAGCGCACAGAGGAGACGTTGAGTGACTGGACGCTGGGTGAGTCCAGTCGGGCATGACCGGACGCGTCCGATCGTGATTTTTTGCGAATGGAACCTTACTGGAAATGACCGGACTCTGGGGTCCTACGTACGGTCGTGTTCAAACTGACGCGTCTGGTCTTCACTTGACCGTTGAGATCGGGCGATTAGCGTTTGAAGCCGATGACACATATGGCAAGCATCGAGTGACCGGACCCTAGGGTCCTACGCCCGGTCAATCTGACCGAAGCGTCCGGTCACCCCGTGTTGTGCCCAGTGAAGTGGTACAATGACTCTATTTCGTGGGGGCTTCTATTTAAGCCCTATGGCCGACTCTAGCTCACCCTCTTGACCATTTGCATTGACATAGCAATCTTGTGAGCTTAGCTAAAGCCCTCCCACTCATCTCCATCATAGATTCAACATCTTTGTGAGATTGGGAGTGAATCCAAGTGCATTGCTTGAGTGTTTGCATCTAGAGGCACTTGGTGTTCATATTTTGTTACGGGATTCGCTTGTTACTTTTGGTGGTTGCCGCCACCTAGACGGCTTGGGGCAGTAAGGATCGTCGAGCGGAGGTTGGTGATTGTCTCTGGCTCTGATCGTGGTGATTGTGAGGGGTTCTTAACCTTTTCCCGGCGGAGAGCCAAAAGGTACTCTAGTGAATTGCTCGTGGCTTGTATGATCCTCATCTTGTGTTGGTTGTGTGGCACCCTATTAAGGGTTTGGCGTGTGATGCCAATTAGCGCGTGAACCTCCCAGTGAGTGAATCGCCATAACGAGGACTAGCTTGCCGGTAAGCAAGTGAACCTCGGTAAAAAACACATTGTGTCATCATTTGATTCCGAGTTGATTGGTCTTCATTGGTATTCATTCTTGTAATTGATTGGCTCCTTCCTCGACACGGCAGTATAACCATCTTGCTCACTCTCTTTACATTACCGCAAACTAGTTGTCAAGCTCTTTAGTGTAGCTAGTTGTGAGAGCTTGTTAGTTTGGTTAAAGAGTTTGTTAGTTTGGTTAGTGTGGTTAGTTAGCATTTGATAG